AGAAAAAAGAGAGATCTCTTTACCTCAATTGTTGACCGAATTCGACAAAGATCCCTGAATTGGACTACACGCTTCCTTAGTAGAGCCGGGAAATTAACCTTGCTAAAGGCGGTCTTGAGTGCGATCCCAACATATACCATGAGCTGCTTCCAAATCCCTATAAGCCTATGCAAAAGGATACAATCAGTGTTGACACGTTTTTGGTGGGATGGTTCTGAAGAAAATAAAAAGATGTGCTGGGTATCTTGGGATAGAATGACATGCCCAAAGGCAATGGGTGGCCTAGGGATCAGAGATATCCAACTCTTTAATCAAGCACTTTTGGCTAAATTGGCGTGGAGGATCATAACGGTACCGAACTGTCTCCTTGCGAGAATTCTAAAAGGGAAGTATTGCCAAAAACAGAGTTTTTTTGGATACATCTACCCCTAGCTCATGTTCCCACGGGTGGAGAAGTATCCTATTTGGAAGAGACCTATTAAAGGAAAATCTAGGGAAAGCTATCGGCAATGGTCAGACAACAAGAGTTTGGAAGGATTCTTGGGTTTCCCTGGATGATAATATCAAACCGTTTGGACCTATCTCAGAGGAGAACATGGATCTCATGGTCTCGGATCTCCTAACTGCAGACCTGAAATGGAATAAAGCGAAAATTGAGAGTCTCTTGCCTGAATTGTCTGAGAAGATCCTAAACCTCAAGCCGAGTCGGTGTGGAGCGGAGGACAAGGTCATTTGGCAACCTCTCCCTACAGGAATATACTCCACACGGTCTGGTTACTACTCTGCCACCAATAAAACTCAAACCAAGACGGTAAGCACTTTTGAGGGGTTTAATTGGGTCCAGGATGTTTGGAAAATAGCTTGCTCGCCAAAAATGAGAATGTTCCTCTGGTCGATAATCAATAATGTTCTCCCTCTGGGGGAAAACCTGGAAAAAAGAGGGATTCCATCAGCTGCAACCTGCCCAAGATGTCATGAAAGAGAGACAAAGATGCATATCTTTTTTACCTGCCCTTTTGCAGTGAAGGTGTGGAAGTTAATCCCAATCAACAAGGCAGTTCACATAGCTGCGAGTATGAGTTTTACAGAAGCCTTGACACGATTCAAGACATCGGTGTGTTTACCTCCATCTGGCATCGTGGGACCAGTGCTCCCCTGGGTGTTGTGGACACTATGGATCTCCAGAAACACTCTTATCTTTGAAGCTAAATGTTTTTCTCCTGAGGAAACAACAACAAAAGGGATTTGGTTAGCTCTAGAATGGAACCAAGCTCAAGAAAAACCGATCAAAAGCAACCCCTCACCAGGAAGAACTTCCAATCAGATATCGAATAGTACAACTCCCCTTCGCAGACCCGGATCCACCACATGCAAGACAGATGCAGCCTGGGATTCGACACGGAACATGGCAGGGCTAGCTTTGAACTTCTCGAGACCCACAACCCCAGACCTCATCGAAGGATCTCTCGTACAGGAGTATGTCTCATCCCCCCTGGTTGGGGAAGCTTTGGCGATTTTAGCAGCTCTTGGAGTGGCAAAAGACCTAGGTTTCTCCGATCTCAATGTCTTCTCAGACAGTACAACGCTCATAGGAGCAATTAATGGCAGGATCCAGAGAAAAGAGTTGATCGGAATCATCAGTGATATACGATCAATCTCTTCTGCATTCACCTCACTTTCTTTTTCTCATGTCGCAAGAGTCGATAACTCAATCTCAGACTCGTTAGCAAAAGCGGCTCTCCACCTTCACTTTTCTGTTTCAAGGCCCTTAGTGGGTTAAACTTTGTTTGGAACTTGGGCTTAGCCCTTTATTTCAATTCAAGTATTTGTGTGATAAAAAAAAATTGGATACCTTAGCAAAGACGGCTCTTTGTATTGTTGTATTGAATCCCATTTTAGGCTAACACTTGGTTTGGATCTTTAAATCTTCTATATATATAAAAGAAGTTTTTCATCCCTACAGTTCCGCCACATCACTAATTGAATTCCTGACGTTCTGCCACGTGTCCTACTCACACGACAAAAGCTCGATTTACTCTATGTTTTTTATGGGCTTTTACACACCTGCGTATTCTGTCGGCTCAAAAATATTATATTGGGCTGGAGTTACAAAATTATAGATCGCGAGTCTCCATCGCTTTCCCAATCTGTATTCGCCGTTAGAAGTTTTTTTTTTGGGGTTGAACAATATTTCTATAACCTTCGTTAGGGTTCATCATAAGTTGTAACCTGCAAATATGCTAAGGTCTATCATCTATGGAGTGTATGAGTTACTCAGACAGAGATAGTTTGTCGGTGTAATCTGTGCGTCTCTATAAGTTGGCGTCGTTTCGTATCTGGTTACAATCCCTATAATCGTTACAAGTTCATTAATTCAACATTGAATCAACCTCATTCACCACTACACCCACGATTATGCATTAAATGTCTGTAAATCCTCTTCTAAGCTGTGGAACTACACCTATAAAAAGGTTAGGCTTCATGAATTGTGAATCATCCTCACAAGTAAAAACCATTCAATAATTCTTACTCAGTATGTTCTACTTGCTGATTTGAAGGCCGTTAGGTGTTCTTCAACCGTTGAGATTAGGTTGCTCAAAATCTGGGATTTTAGAAACGTTAAACGCCATGGCTAATTGATGGGAATCGACATGATCTTCATGATTCTAAGGTTTTTTGTTGTTGAACTAAGTACCAGAATTTCTTTGTTTTTTGTTAATTATTTTTGGTTTTTATACTCATAAATCTTCAAATTGGTTTGGTGATTTGTTTTACTTTACGCATGTGTTTCAGTTGACATTCATGCCAGCCACCATGAATATCAACCGTCTGTCTCGCCACCTTCCGCCGCCGTCTCAAGGCCAAGGCCGGTTATGTTCACTTTAGACGGATTTGATGTGAAACGGTGCAAACAGAGCTTCAGGCTAACCGACTTTACTCAAGCAATTCGTACTGGGATCGCAATTTGCTTTATGGACTAGCCAATACAAACACACATCTTTCAGGTAATATGTGCTTCTGTATATGTTTCATCCCAGATTCATTTTGTAACCGATAAATAACTGAGCACATGGTGCCAGCCTTGACTACGTAAAAAAATTGACTTAAGACTTTAGGACTAAATTAAAGTCCTCACAGCCATTACAGTCAAAATAACCCGCAACCGTAAACTAAATTACAGTCCTTTAGGACTAAATTAAACACCCATGATCCCCACTACTTAGGAACCGCTAATCTTTTCTAAATAAAAGCCATATATTAGTTTCATCTATACTTACACGATTTCAACTTCTAATGACAAAACCATTTACAGTTCTAGATCCAAATCCAATTTGTCTCTGTTCCAAGCCTCCGACAGATGCCTAATAGTTTTTCAAAAGAATTTCTTCTTTTAAAAATGATAAAAACAAGAACATCAATACGCAATGTATAGTGAAGTTGGAAGAGAAATTACCTTAAAATCCAGGTAAGTGAAAACTAAAAATGCTCAAGCTCTTATGCTCAAATAACATTTTCATGAAAGTTGTCAAAAAAAAAAAAAAACCTTTTCATGAACAATTTTTTCTTCTAACCTATTTATAACTTTCGTTTATCTTTTTTTTTCTGTACTTCTAGAAATTGGCAAAAACGGTATACTGCATAATGAAAAGAAAAAGTAAAAGTAAATCAGATATGTCAACAATCCATTTAAAATGGAGTAATCAATTCTCCATTTGCTGGAATATGTTTATTTGTTTTCTTGATGATAGTTCACGAAAGATATTAATGTGGTCTCAACTTAAAACACGTGTACACAACTTCTGAAAAACTTGAGAAGCACCATAGAAGAAAAGAGAAAAGGGAAAACGTGGAGATAATTAGAAGGCAACAAATGAAGTTAAAGAGAGAAAATGAGAAAGATACATGTCTACTATCTGAATCAAGATTGAACTGTGATAAATTTTCCTTACTCTTAACTTTTGAGATTATAATTGTATAGAAATGCGGTGAATTTTTTTTCCTTTCATTTTAATATCAAAAATGTATACTTCTTTTTTATATATTTTTTGGTAGTCTGTTGAAAACAAAAATATCTAACAATGCCAATGAATGTAAATGAATATCACATGGACGAAAATAAAAGTATACATTAAAATAGGAAAAAACTACAATAAATATAAATGTCAATTATCTAGAAAATTATGATCCGTATTTTAATTGTACTTATGAAAGAAATATACTTCCATAAAATCAGATTTTTCATAAGAAATGATTTTTTGGGTTGTGGAAAGGAAAATATGTGATACTCATTGTTTGTCCATACTTGACTATTGTGGGACATAAAGAGTTTATCAATATATATAACCCTAAAAATAATATTTATTTACATTGTAAACAATAACCTTCAAAATAAATTTAATTCCATTGTAGATTATAAAAATGTGCCCGTGCTTTAGCACGAGAGATAATACTAATTTAGATCTATTTGAAAAGATTACCCAATTTCTTTTTCTACTAATAAACGAAAAAATTGTCATCATGATTAGGTAAAATTCAAAGATATTGATTTCATTTGAATATATAGAAACAACCAACGGGTTTGCATGTTTGACATCGAATATAAGATTAATTTTTTAAGAAAATAACTTCAAAACCATTTGAAGTCCGCACAACATTTCAATATCAAACTATTTAATATAGAAACAACTATTGTAAACAAGAAAAATCTTACCATTTATAATCTTTCTTCACATAAAATTTTTTAAAAAACAAAAATCATTATTATACACATCTATTGCAAATGCAAAACCTAATATAGAACCACAAAATCATACAAAAATAGTAATCTAAATTACAAATAAAGTATATCCCATCCGTAGGGCGGACCGACCCTAGTTTCAAATATTTTTGTGACAAAAAAAAATCTAGATATATAACCAAAAAAAAAGAAAGGCTCGAAATAAAGGATGATCTGTGGAGGCAAGGGTATAGATTTTAAAATGCCTATGTCAAAACATTTTGTTTTAATTACTAAACGTTGTATTTCCTAATAATTGAATATTTTATGATTTTACAATTGAAAAAACATTAATCTTGATAATTTTTGGTTGGAGCTTTACAAAATTTGATAAGAGTGATATACACAAGAAAACCCCAAACAAAGAAAAAAAAAAAACAAATGAAGAAAGTTGAACAGAGTAGCAGCTTTTATCCCAAATGTCAATTTGATGGCCGTTCAGAGAGATTCCTGTGAAGATTCGATCTTCTGATGTTAGAGAGATTCTTCTTCTTGACCTCAACACCTATAGCTGCAGCAAGCATTCGCGAGCGAGATGAAGGCATGTTCCTGAGATATTGAATAGCATGTTCTTTCTCCTTAACATCTGCAACAGAAGCAGTAGTAACATTGCTTCTAATCGGCTTTGTTTCTTGAATTTCTTCTTTCTTCTTATTTTGCAAATGCTCACGTTTAATCAGAAACGTTCCTGTTTACAAAATCCGCACACACTCAGATTCAGGATCGTTCAATGTTTCTCTTATCTTACTTAGTATCTCTTCCACAAATTTTACTTGAGTAAAGCTAACAAAATAACACATAGTACCTTGGCGTTTTGCAAAGGAATTTGGTTTTTGAATCTTGGGCTTAGGCATAAAAGCTTCTTCACCAATGTTAGCTCTCTCAGCAGCTATACATAGAATCACACAAAACACAGCATAAGAGCCAAGTAACAAGTCACAACTCAGAAACAGATAACCCTCAAGTTAGTTATTAAACACACAAATAGTAAAAGATGGTACCTTTTCGTTTTGGAGATGGGTCTTGCTCTTGAATCTTGAGCTCAGGCACAGAAAAGTCAATGGTAGTAGCTCTGTTGCCAGCTGGACACAAAGTAGCCTCTTCTTGGTAAGAGGTCTCAGCAAACTGTTTCCCAGATTCATCAGCATTTGGTGACTTAAAGGTAAAAGATACGTCATAACTGATAGGCTCCGCTGAATGAAGCACTTCATCTTGTGGCTCATCACAACGGTAATCTGAGTAACTTCCACCCGGGATCGATACTCCCACTGAGCCATTAAAAGCTTTGTTTGAATTGCACTCATCTCTGCAGGTGGTCTCAAGGGTGGTCTCAAGCACCGACGTGGGAGAGAAATTTATAGGAGTAGCTTCGTACAATGTCTTTAGCTCTTCAAAAGCAGCAGAGAACCAAGGAGTTCCTTCTCTTGCGTAAAATAACATATAAGCATTCTTTGATAGAACACATTCTTCACTAATTCTCCTGACCTGCCAAAGGAAAAGTTGCATTCATTCAAACCACTCTAGAGAAATCAACAAAGAATTAAATCAAAATGAAATCACTGATCATCATCTTATATTACCTTTGCATCATCAAAATGGTGCCATGTCTCAGGAGCTGATCTCACATACGATGAGTAATGACCAAAATGTACTCCACTCCCAAGATGCTCCACCATGCCATAGAGATAGTACTTTGTTGACACCTGAATAAACAAAACAAGAACATAATCAGATGTTATGACAAGACATGATAATCTCAGGGTCAGTTAAGTTTTCACATACTTGAGGATTTTCGTTACTGCTCATGTAAGGGAGCATATCCAACTCCAAAGGGAACTTGACATCTTTGAAGATCTTCTCCATATAGACTCCATCGTTCTTAAACCTCTTCAAATGGAACGTAGCAACAAGAGGCAACTTATCGAACTTAAGTTGCTTCTCCTTTGAGACTTTCTCTTTACAGTCATCACACGTAAGCTGGTCCTCGAGTTTTTCAACACATGTAAAAGACTCTAGAGCGCTGGAAAGATCATCAACATCGTCAATTTCAAGACTCCATCCAACAGACGGTTCAAATGTTTCCGAAGAGGAGTTGCAGTTGCAGCAACGAAGCTGGCAAAGAAAAGACAAAAACACATATGAAACTCTGCTTTTAACACTAGATAATCAGTATGTTAGTGAAATAAACTTTGTTACCTTACTAACGAGACGCCCACCAAAGACATTGTCAACAATATTAACCCTCGGAGAAGAGACAACAGCACCAGGGTTATTACTACTACTAAGATCCAAACAACACCTCTCTAACTTATCCAGAAACGACTGAAGAAACTCATGAGCGTCTTCTTGGTTGTTTATCTGAAAGTCAGCTGAGAAATCTATACAAGCAAACACAAATTAAGGTTGAGAAACCTCAAACACACAAGCAAACAAAAACAAAAACTTAAGTTGAGAAATATACAATTAAGGTTATCGCGAAACCGATCAATCTTTAAATTATATCCAGAAGACCTCAGGGAAAGCTCAATATGATCTCTAAGAGACCTCAGAACACAAAAATTATCATTCCCACCTGAAATTAAACAAAAAAAAAAACACAATTATAAATGAGCTAGAAGATGTAAGACTATGAACAAATCAAGACACCAACTAAACACAAACGTCTTACAGTTGCAAGGGTCTTGATATTTGTAAGAGCGAAGTGTGTCGAGAAGAGGCACACTATGAGTAAAGCACTGTAAGACAGAAGCTATGAAACAAGTGTTGCCTGAGTTATACAATCCAGCACCCTGAGAGAAAACACACATAATTAATTTAATGTTTTGGAATAAAAACTAAAATTAGAGATTAAAGGAAAGGATTAAAGGGATACATACAACACCAGTGGGTTCATTCTTCAGAAACGACCACGAGAAAGGCTCTGCAGTCTCCATCTTGGTATCATCGTCGTCGCTAAGATACTCAAAATTGGGCATGTACCTCCCTGGTTCCGCAGATGGCATGATTTGAGAATCTCTGTACTCGTTATCAGCTGAAGAAGGCGTGACTAGGGTTTCATCTGGGTTTTGGATCTGGCGAATTGGTGAGGAGAGGGCGAGGGAGTGAGCAACGAGGGCTCGAATCGGGGCGGTGGGTGAAGGCTCGTCTTCGTCTAGGGTTTTGTTTGGGTTTTCGATTTTAGGAGAGGGTGGTGGGTCACTCGACGCCATTAACAACACACCCAGATCGAATTTTCTGAAGAAAGAGGAGAAGTTAGGGTTTAGTTTTGTGGGGAATTGTCTACGTTTAGATCGAATCGAAGGTAATTGAAGGAGAAATTTTCGAAATTGGCTCCAAAAATTTGTGAAAGTTTCGAAATTTAGGAGGAAGATTCCGAAAAGGGGAGAGATTTGGGAAAGGATTTGGAGGGAAGAAGGTGGGTTTGAGTCCATTAATCAAAATGTTTTGAATTTGGAGGGAATATTATTCCGCCATTTTTTTCAGCGTTTATTTTCTTGTAAACTCGAATTTATACATTGGATTTGTTTACTTCTTTATGTGGTTTTATATAGTTAACTGAGTCAAGCCTGCGTGGTTTGCATTCAAGCTCTTTTCACCTTCTTTTTTAGGACGTCAACTTTTGTTTTCCTTTTTTATTTTAAATAAAGTAGATATTCCTTTTTTTCTTTGTTATAAGTTAATAAACTTCTATTATGAATTGGATCAGTTTAAAATATACTAAGATTTGATAAGATAAGTTTCTTTTTGAAAATCCTATTTAAAACAGAAACATTGAATTTTTTATGTGTGTTTTTTTTTTTCAAATTAAACCATATCTTAACACATAATCATAGTATAAAATTAACCTTTAGCTCATGTGATATTTACAAAATATACCTTTAAAATGTGAATTTTAAATTATACTGTAAATATATTAATGACAGGCCCATTTTAATAATAAATTTTTAATTAGAACAAAATCTGTTGAAAAATGTAAAATTTTATCAGAACTTCAATTTTAATAAAATAAAGCATTAATTATTGTATATAATAAAAATTATGTAAATTAATATTACTAAGATTTTGTTATATAAATAAAAATAAAAGTTATATGATTGTTTTCTAAAATTTTAATTATAGTCTGATTATATCAAGATAGAATTATTATAGAAAATTAAATATGGAAAATTATATTAAATTGAAAGTTTAACATAATTATTTTCACAACAGGGAACATTTAAACAGATAAATAAATTATTATACACCGTTAAAACTGGTTAGAATTTGTAACTATATAATATTTTATACAAAAATGAAAAGTTAGCATATATTAAACTCCTATATATACATCTATATACTATCATGTTTTTATTTGTGCTTTTGAACTCACGAATATATATTATCTAAAGAAAATTAAATTTTATTAAAATAAAACCCTGATTTAAAAACTCTGATCGGATTCTAGTTAATAATTTTTAAGACAAAATTTATATAATCATAAGTAAAAGTATAATATTGTTATTTTTTGAGAAATTGTTAGAAATACTATCAGTTAAGTACCACTTTTCAAAAATACCACCAATCAATAAATCTATTAACATTTGGATTTAAGTTTCAGTGATTATTGTTTAGGATTTAATATTAAGGGGTTTGGATTAGGTTTATAAATATTCTATAAATATTTTTTTAAAATAATAATTTAGTGTTTTTTTATCATAAATTTAGGCTATTTGTGAAAATAATTATTCATTAATGATACATTTAAAAAGTGATATCAAACTTTTGGTAGAATTGAAATTTCCCTTTTTAAAATATTTTACACTAGAGTCACTTTTTGGATTTTTATAACACTCAGAGACACTTCTCATTCCTAAATCACTTTCTTTTAACTAAAAAACGTAACTAGAGTATAAATTTGTAAGACCCACTATTTTTCCTTTTTCATGTTTCTCGGATCTTATTTTGCTTTTTTAGACAGTTATTTTTACCAAGGATGGACATATAAGGTGGACATATTTTAATGTATACAAGGGTAACATATAAGGTGGACATATTTATAAAGATTCCAAAGATGATTTTCTAAATGTACATAGCATACGAATGTACACAAATCTTTTTATTCACTTGTTCAACGACTCTCATATACACTGGTGTATATTAGTATGTTATCCATATATGTATGTGTTACCTTTGTTTATTCTAGATAAATATATATTTGATTTACATATATGAATGTATTATCTCTGTTTCTTATGGTTAAAAGTTGTAGAACCTATATATATAAGCAAATATCCATACGTATATAGATATTAAATACCGTAGTATCCACATGTACATTGATGTGTACATACAAAAGATGAATTTTTTTTTTTGACATCATACAAAAGATGAATTAATTACGGTTTTGCCATTAATGGAAAACCATAAAAAGATATTAAAAATGAGCATTTGGTGACTCGAACATGAAGAGAATGCTATACTTACTCTGCTATTATCACATACCATGATTAAATTCTTAGTCTTATTTACGTAAAATAATTAATGTACAAACGATTTCATACAAATATTAAGAAATAGATTCAAAAGTATTTTCTGAGTATTCCCAGATTATTTTCAGATTTCTACTGATTTATAGCTAAAAAATATGCAACTTTGGTTCGAATAAAAAGCATAAATGTTACCATTAAAAATTGTAAATATATTATTTCATTCCAAAAACTAATTAGAGAGTTACAATAATCAAAATAAACATGTGTACATGTGTGCAACTTCACATGTGTACACTCTTTATTGTTAAAACAATATACCATATACACATATACATATGTACAACTATATGTGTGCATGTGTACATTTTTATTGTTAAAACAATGTACCATATAACCATATACATATGTATATGTGTACATCTCCACATGTGTACACTTTTTATTATTACATACATTTGCAAGTTTTACTGTCCATATATACAAATGATAAATTTGTTACATATATACTCGTCAATATAATCACTATGTACTTTATATTTTATTGTACATTCATACATCTTCACATATATATATATATACACTTTTTATTATTATTATTTAATTTTTTTATTAAATAAGGGTATAATTGTAATTTTGAAATATTTTTCTTCCTTGACCTAATTTTTTTTCTCCTGCGCTGCCACCATTGTTACCACCAAAGTTTTCACTGATTTCTCACATCACCAGCCAATTTATTTTCAAAATTTACTTAATTTTTTTATAGAGCTCTAAATCATGTTATACATACACGTTTTTTGACCCCAATAACAACAATCTGAGATTTTTTGTTTGCATCTTCTCGATTTGGATAAAATCCCCCATGATTCATCACCGTTAAATCGTGTAATCGCCCGTCTACGGCCACTGAAGCCGAGGTTTAGAACATAGACTGGTTCTGTAATGAAAGTTAAAACCAAAAGGTTTAGAACAACAGAAAACAAGAACTAAATATTGAGAAAGTTAAAACTTTGCTATGGAGTTGTTGATCTGATTCTTTTCAATTTCAAAAAAAAGTTAAACTATGTGGTTAGACATTTTTTTCTTACATAAACAAAAAGATCAAGATGAAAGAGACAAGGAATATATTTTGGCAAATAAACTTAAAAGAAAAGATGATAGTTAATTAACTTATTTAGTTAGGAGAGTACATGTAGAAAATGAGTTTTGTTAGATAAAAGTACTTTAATAGCATAAAGTGTCTTATAGTGTAATAGGAAACTAGAAACTGACTCTCAGTGTAATTGCTTCCTTTTTTTTATTCAAATGAAATCAATCGTAAAAGCAATGTTCTTCGTAAACGTCTTGAAAGTATCTATAGATTTATGTGCGTTTTAATTTTTGAGTTTGTATATAATACATCAAAAACACTGAATAATCATCTAATACGAAAAAGACAAAAGTCAAATTTAGAAACCTGAACCAATTAAATTTATGATCGTGCAAATATATATATTTATTTATTTATTTATTTAAAGTAAAAATATTTAAAATGATATGGATCTGAACAAGAAATTTCTGCAAATTAATAAATTAATAAAATAACATAATCCTGACTTTATTGATTTACAGAGTTTTATTGCATTAACTTGTCAATAATCAACTATATCTGTAATTGAAAAAAACTAGTTTAGATAATTTATTTTAAGATATACTGGTAGACATTTTTCTTATAGACATCACAAATGATCATGAAGAATGGAGATATACTGCATAGGTGTTTGATAGTTTATTCAACAGCAATCAACAAGATTTATTATTTTTGTTGCAAGTTGTTTCTCCATTACAAGGACACTACTCAACTAGCAAGCATTGATTTTATGGATTGGAATAATATCATAGTAAGGCTGAGACAACATTATGTGTATGAGCATGTGGATATAATTAGAGATGAGACTGCAAATGAACCAGACTATTGCTACGTGTTTCCCAAAGGAAATAAGAAAAGAGAAAATCATTAAAAGGAGCTTTTACTGAGAATGTTTTCAGTGATGAAGTATTTGGCTAAGAGTAATATAGCTTTTCGGGGATCTAATGACACAATTGGTTAAATATAACAATGGAAAATTTCGGGGGAAGATTGAGATGATTGGTGAATTTGAGCTTGTAACAAGGGAGTACATAAGGCAAATTACCAAAGTAACCCAATACCATTATCTCAGCCACAAAATTATACATGAGTTGACTAGAATGTTGGGTTCTTAAATCAAGGTTATGATCATCAAGAAGAGTAACGAGGCAAAATTATTCTAAATTATTCTCGATCGTACATTGTATATTAGGCACAAAAAGAAAATGTCTCTCATTACTCGATGTGTGGATATATCAATAATTGCAGTTCATATTGAAGAATTTTTTCTTATTTTTATCGAGCTTAACGATACATCAGAAAAAGACGTTTTGAGCTTTTATTTGATATATTGATTGGTCTGAACCTGGATATTAATGATTTGGGGATAAGGTTATAAATGGATCCAACATGAAAGGGAAAAACAAAAGAGCACAGAAGAGATTGTTGGATATCAATCCAAGAGAATTTTATACATCATGTGGTCATAATTTGAATTTGGTTATCTATGATAATGCTAAAAATTTTGAAAAAACAAGCTCTTTCTTTGGGATGATCAAGTGTTTATACTGATTTTTTTCACCTTCTTCGACTTGATGGGAAATGTACAGAACAATGTGAGAGGTTTCATGCTTAAACTCCTATCAGATACGTGTTGGGAAACAAAACCTTGAAAGATGAAAAACATTTATCATTAAATTTGATGTGTTCCTTTTACTCTGCCATGATTGCGCAGTGACATGAAAAATAAGTTGGCGTTGTTTTGCGAGTGTTGTGTTTTCTGTGATGATAGGTCTGTTTTTTGGTTGCTATCGCTGGTCGAAGCGTTTATGAAAAGAACAGGCCATGATATCAAAATAAGATGATGACTAGAAAACTAATTTTCTCCATCGTTAATGGGCTATCAAGTTAAAAAAAAAAACTATTTACAATTTGACACCTTTATAAGGGATATTACTTAATACTCATTTTCAGTTTATATTTGCCTATGTATATTATATTTCGCTCACACTGTAAACTATTTTGATTAAGTATATGACAGAACTATTGTTATTTTCTTACAAAATATGGCTTTCAACAGCATACGACCAAAGGCAGAAACTTTCTTGAAATTATGAATGTTAAAAATACTACAATTTAGTTGTTAACTAACGTGTGAGATGCTATAACTATATTAAATCTACGTTATGGAAAACACAATTACCAATAAACATTCTTGGCCAAAATTAGATTAATCTTTTGTTAGTCTTTACTAAAATAAAAACTACTAACCAAATAAAACCAACTCTCTCTTTCATCTCATGTGTCTCTCTTTCTCTTATTTTTGATCTCCATTGTCGTAAGGAGATCAAGAAAAGCTATGAGTCTAAATTGTCTATCATGTCAAGCTCTTCCACGTACGGATTCCAACAACGAGTTTGATCTCTCTGGTCCTGGACCACCAACGGTCGAAAGTCACCATGTCTTAGGTAAAACATATTGTGCTGATCAGGTTGGTGGGAGAAATTGGTCAGGGAATTTGAATGCTAAGATCTCTGATAAAATTGGACGATCAGGATCCTCTTTAGCGCAAAGAATGAAGAAGGTGAAAAAGATTCCTCATATTAGGCTTAGTGGTCCGGTTGGTTCTAACTCTGGCAATGGGATGCTTAGAACCGAACAACCAAAGCTTGTGAGAAGTAGTGGAATGAGAAGGAATTGGAGTTTTGAGAATTTGAGAGATCAAGGGTTGATAGAAGAGAAGAGCAAGGTTAACATATGATTATCAATGATTATTATGATTCTGGGATTTTATGGAAGATAAACAAAACTGGTTACATGTAGTTTTGAATCCAGATTCATGGTTATATAAATCATGATAGAATATGTGAGTAGTAAAATAGTAATATTTTGATGATAATTATGTGTTTGTTTATTATTTATGTTCTCGTTCAATATTATATTATTCTGTTGTAATATATTTTTGAAAGAAAATATTGTTTTCCATTTTAATGTGTGTGTCAGTGTGTGTGTTTAATCTATTTCATATGATCACGATGTGTATAAATGTTACTGATTGTGTTAGATGCGATGTCACAGTCCAGATATAAACTTCATGCCACGTTATTATTAATTTTTCAACCATGTTTCACGTTATTGACAAAAATACACTTGAAACTGATATATATGAGTTCTTGAGAACAAACGTAGAAATCTTTATGGTAACGAAACAATTTATAAATCTCTATTTATCTTAGATATTGTAGGAGGTGGGTTATACCCCTTCATAAGGCCCATCAAATGAAGAAACTTAGTCCAACATGACAGTATACTCGGCCCACCGGGTAACACCAAAACGATTCGGCATGAGACGCGTTTAGTAGCGCGACTAAACATGTTCTAGAAGAGTCGGCGGAGGTACGATTTACTCGGACTACTAAACGGGCCTAGCGATAACAAGGCCCAACAAGGCTCGGGTAAATTAGGGCGAACACGAAGATTGGATCTATAAAAGGAGAGAGGCAGCAAAGGAAAAAGGGATCCGGAATTGGACATACTCACTTGGCGGCTAGATCTAGGGTTTCTTAGCGATTAGGTGGTTAGATCTAGGGTTTACTCACCTTCCTGTTTAGTCACCTTCCCGTTTACTCACCATCTCATACTTCCGGCTAGTCCGCCTCTTTACTCTTCTCTTTGTAACTCATTATTCAGATCTAATAAAACGTCTTTGTTCGCCCTCATCTCTCTTTATATTGTTCGAACCATTTTCACCTCAAACAATTTGGCGCCCACCGTGGGGCTCTGAACAAAGCAACGTTATCAGATCTAGACATGCCTGACGACGGAACCGTCTCCGGAACTGCCGGCGAGGAGCCGACTCAGACTCCCGTGCCCGAAACACCTCTTCCTCCCGACTTCATGAGCTCCGTCATGGCGCGTTTCGCCAGACAAGACGAAATACAAAAGGAGACTCAAGCTCAACTCGCCGCACTCGTAGCAGCGTTAACAGCAGCTCCCGCCGGACAGACGAGTAACTCTCTACCGTTCCGACGTCATCTCTTCAACACTAACCCGACGACACCGGTAGCCGACCATACCTCCGAACAGTCGGAACCCACCGAGCCGCATACCGCAGAAGCAGCTCAAGTCGGCCCAGATCTCACGACTGTCCGTGAAATCGCTGAGCTCAAACTGAACCTCCAACAGATGAGCTCCACGATTCACAAGGTTACTAGCGCCGCTCCACAGATCGAGAGTGTTCTCGCCTCAACCGAGCGTACTCCATTCACCAGTACGCTGACTAGCGTAAACTTCCGCAAGATTGAGAAGCTACGCGTCCCACAGTACAAACCCGGCGGTGACCCTGTGGAGCATATGACTGCTTTCAACATCGCGATTGCTCGAGCGCGACTACCCGACGACGAAAGAGACGCCGCATACTGTCAGCTGTTCGTGGAAACACTCCACGACCAAGCCTTGACCTGGTTCTCAGGTCTCAAGGAGAACTCCATCAGCAGTTTCAGAGAGCTTTCGTCGGCTTTCCTCAAGACCTACATCATGTTCACTAAGCGCGAAGCAACAGCCTCCAGCTTGTGGAACCTGAAGCAGACTAAAGATCAAAGTCTTCGAGACTTCATGGAGCGCTTCAAGTCGATCGTCTCAAAGATCGACATCCCTGACCACATAGCCGTCGACGCTCTCATGAACACCCTCCATCTCGATTCCAAGTTCAGAGAGGACCTGTACCGAAGCACCTCCACAACGCTCCAGGATGCCATAGCTCGCTCACACAACTTCATCCGAATGGAGGAAGACACAAAAGCAATCATAGGCAAGCATAGCGCAGCAAAGCCGACAACGCCCAAGACCTCTGACGCAAAGCCGGAGCCGCGTCAACACGCTTCCGGCGACAAGAAACAACAAAAGAGCGGCCTTCTCTTTGTCGTCGATGAGAATAACACACCAGTAGCAAGTTTCTCAGTACGCGGCGAGCCATGGAACGTGTACAACCGAGAGACGGCGGCTCTGAAAGGTTTGGCTAGTCCTGCCGGACCGGCTCAACCAGTTTCGCCGGCTACCTCAGGAGTGGGATCTTCTAAAGGAGTCGACCTCACCAAACACTGCAAATACCATGATGTCAAAGGACACGACACAACCGAATGTAGAACGATGTACGCTGAATTCCTCTCATCGGTTGAAAAAGCCGACTTCAAGATTCAGCCTCCAAAGTAGAAACCTAAATCCGGTAAGAGTTGGTCTAAGAACAAAGATAAGCGCGCGCAGCGAAAGTCCGGTGGTAAGAGCGGAGAGCAACACCGTCCAGACGACAAACCTTCGGATGCCGCCGACAACGAAGCCTCCTCGGGAGACGAGGGACAACCAGCAAGCCGTCAACGTATTGAAGTAATTCGATCTCAGCAACCTTTGTCATCTGATGACGAGGACGATAACTCTCCCGAGTCAAGCGACCTGCGAAGCTTCCTGAAGCGGAAGGAGACGACATGCAGTGACGTCAACAGCGGAGATCTCCGCCTCAAGCTCCAAGCCAACAAGTCGCGACGCCTGGAAACCAAGGAGCCTCCCTTGTCGGTCGACAAGCCTGTCACGGATCTGCGCGACAAACTCAACGCTAACCTGACCGATTTACGCGCGCGACTAAACCGTTCCAAATCAATGAATCAACGGCTAGAGCAGTCAACCTCGTCTCATACCATGGATTCGTCAATGTCGAGCGGAGAAAACGTCCCAGCGGATCTCCGTACATTCTTAGATACCAAACGAGTAGTCGCGAAACCACGGCTGAACGTCATCATGGGTGGATCACCTCCTTGTGGCGACTCTGTCCGCTCCGTTAAAGACTACCGGCGTCAAGCCGCGTCTTCGAGACGCTGGCCTACGAAGCCACCGAGTCACGCGCCGATCAGCTTTACCCCCGAAGATTTGAACGGAGTCCACCTGCCCCACAACGATCCTCTGCTAGTCGTCCTTGAGATCGGTAAGTACGATGTAACCAAAGTACTAGTCGACACAGGAAGCTCGGTTGACCTAATCTTTCGTGATACGCTTGAGAAGATGGGGGTAGATTTCGACGACGTCAAGTCATCCTCACGAACCTTGACCGGCTTCAACGGCTCATCGGAAACCATCCTAGGAACTATCCGTCTCCCAGTCCGCGCGTGCGGAGTTACTCGAACGATTAAATTCGCCGTGGTAAACACTAAAGCTCCTTATCACGTCATTCTCGGAACCCCATGGATACATTCGATGCAAGCAGTTCCATCCACCTACCACCAATGCATCAAGTTTCCCGGGGTAGACGGAACAATCAAGACCGTCCGCGGCGATCAGCAAGCCGCGCGAGACCTGCTAATTGCCACAGTCAAGCTGCAACGTTCATCGTCCCTAGTCAACTCTGTCTCTCATCCGATCGCTCGAACCTTCCCTCAGAAAGACGAGGTTCTGGAGATGCCTGTAGACGATTCTGATCCAAGTAAGACGGTGCGCGTCGGTGCACATCTAGCCGACGATATGCAACGAGCATTGCTCACATTCCTGAAGAAAAACGTGTTCACCTTCGCTTGGTCTGTCACGGACATGAAAGGAATCGATCCAGCAATAACCACCCACGAGCTCAACGTCGACCCCACTTTCAAGCCTATCCGCCAGAAAAGACGTAAGCTGGGCCTGGAAAGAGCAAAAGCAGTGAACGAGGAAGTCGAACGACTACTCGGAGCTGGTTCAATCGCAGAAGTTCGTTACCCGGAATGGCTAGCGAATCCCGTGGTGGTCAAGAAAAAGAACGGGAAATGGCGCATGTGCGTCGACTTCACCGACCTTAACAAAGCTTGCCCGAAGGATAGTTACCCATTACCCAGCATTGACCGTCTCGTAGAATCAACCGCAGGAAATGAGATGCTCACCTTCATGGATGCGTTCTCGGGCTACAACCAGATCATGATGCACCCCGATGATCGCGAGAAGACAGCGTTCATCACAGACCGAGGAACATACTGTTATAAAGTCATGCCATTCGGGTTGAAGAATGCCGGTGCTACCTACCAGCGACTCGTCAACCGAATGTTCGCCGATAAACTCGGTAGCACCATGGAAGTTTATATCGACGATATGCTCGTCAAGTCGCTTCATGCCAAAGATCACCTTAACCATTTACGCGATTGCTTCGAAACACTAAACAAGTATGGGATGAAGCTGAACCCAGCTAAGTGTACGTTTGGAGTCTCTTCCGGCGAGTTTCTAGGCTACATCGTTACCCAACGAGGGATTGAAGCCAACCCGAAGCAAATATCAGCTGTGCTCGATCTCCCAAGTCCTAAGAACATCCGCGAAGTCCAGCGGCTAACTGGTCGCATCGCCGCTCTTAACCGTTTCATTTCTAGATCAACCGATAAATGTCTCCCTTTCTATGATCTTCTCCGTGGAAACAAGAAATTCGTTTGGGACGATAGGTGCGAGGAAGCATTCTCCCAGCTCAAGAAGTACCTCACTACCCCTCCAGTCCTCGCAAAGCCAGACGAAGGAGACGTCCTCTCGCTCTACATCGCCGTTTCTAGCGCAGCGGTTAGTAGCGTCCTCATCAAGGAGGACAGAGGCGAACAGAAGCCAATCTTCTACACAAGCAGGCGCATGACCGGTCCGGAAACTCGGTATCCAGCTCTTGAGAAAATGGCTCTCGCTGTGGTAGAAGCAGCCAGGAAGCTTCGACCCTACTTTCAATCACACTCGGTTGAGGTGATGACTGATCAGCCCCTCCGAACTGTCCTA